TAACATGGTTATAAAAAATAAAAATTCTTTATAGAAAGCAGTAAAAACTTTCATTTCCTTTTACTTAATATCTAGTTTACATATATCCATGCCTGACCAAAGCACAATCATAATCTCAGATGATTTCCATGCAACCATTCCACAAATTTAGTGATTTTATATTTTTCAAAAACACTGCCATCGAAATAAAAAGACAAGTACAAGTGATTTTCAAAAAATTAAAAAGGCAGTTTATTAATTTGTCCAAGAGAAATTCAGACTTCAAGATAAATTCTATAATCTTGAAACTCTTGTAACAAAAGTAACATAAATATAGGGTTTGCTTATGAAATTATATTTAGCATTCAATAAGAAAATATTACTTTTTTTTGTAGCAGACATATTTTTCATTCTAGTTCTCCATTTCTATAAACATAAAGCCATGTGCTTCTGTAAAACGTGACTCTAATCCTAATCGGTTTGGCTCAATGGATAGAGACTGTGGATCGCCCTGCAGACTCAAGGGTCCCAGGTTTGATTCCAGTCAAGGGCATGTACCTTGGTTGCGGGCACATACCCAGTGGGGAGTGTGCAGGAGGCAGCTGATTGATATTTCTCTCTCACAGATGTTTCTAACTCTCTATCCCTCGCCCTTCCTCTCTGTAAAAAAACAATAAAATATATTTTAAAAAACAAACAAAACAAAACAAAAAAACAACCTGACTCTAAGAAACCTAAAATATAAAATTCTGAACAAAGGTCAAAATTATGATAATCTGACATAAAAATGTTAAACCTTATGTGATTTATTAAACTTTTCTCTTTATGAACATCTTTATCAGTTAAGATATTTCTTTAACAATAAACTCATCTACCTGTTCATTATTCAGTGGTTCAGTTCCCATAGGAGCAGTAGAAAAAATGCTTGATTCTTTACCTTATTTACTAGTTTTCAAAATAATTAGTTGATTCCTCCAAAAGTGGTCATTATGTTTTTCAAGTGCCATTATGAACCCATGGATTTAAACAGATGTGTGTTTCCATCCATTGAAGTTATTATTCTCATTTATGCTCAAATTGTCCCATCTTTGGCCTTTGGGAGCCTTTTTGTTGGTTCCTGTGCCCTCTTGAAATGACCTTACCAGACTTTTATTGCTTATGGCTTCCTTGCTTTCTGGTTTGACCAGATGGTCCAGCCTCAACTTATACATTTTTGGAAATTGTACCCTGGTCACTGTGGCTCAGTTGGTTGAGCATCTGCACTAAATCCCTTGCACCTGCACTAAAGGGTTGCTGGTTCAATTCCTGGTCAGGGTGTATGCCCAGATTGAGTGTTCGATGCGCCCTTGGGATGTGTGGGGGAGGCAGTAGATTGATGTTTCTCTCTCTCTCCCTTCCTTTCTCTCTAAAATCAATTTAAACATATATATATATATATATATATATATATATATATATATATATATATATTTGTTTGTTTGTTTGTTTGTTTTTTGTTTTTTTCTTTTAATTTATTTTTTTTTAATGTGGGAAATTGTATTTTTAAATTGTCTTAAATCTGAAATTATTAAACACGGGAGGTCCCATGCTTGGTAAACGGTTAGTAAATGCTGTTTGGCTGAATAAATTAATGATTACCACCCTCACTAGATTTTAAGTTCCTTAGACCAGAATCATATACTTCTGGCAAGTATTTGTTAAGTAGATAAATGGAATGAAAACCAATTAGGTGATACCAATGAAGTCTCAGGCAGGGCAAAACTCTGATATTTGTGGTCCTCTATCACCCCCTGGTGGGGAAGTGCAGAGCATAACTCTCCAATGCTTTGAAATCTAATGTAGTGTTTTCAAACTGTAGAGCTCTACCCATTAGCGAGTTGTAAAGTCAATTCTATGGATCATAACCAGCATATTTAAAAATTTTTATATATTTTTTATTGATTTTTTCATACAGAGGAAGAGAGAGGGATAGAAAGTTAGAAACATCGATGAGAGAGAGTCATGGATCAGCTGCCTCTTGCACACCCCCCACTGGGGATGTGCCCGCAACCAACGTACATGCCCTTGACCAGAATCGAACCTGGGACCTTTCAGTCCACAGGCCGATGCTCTATCCACTGAGCCAAACCGGTTTTGGCATACCAGCATTTTTAATTGAATTTATAATTGAATAGAAAATATCAGAGTGCCTTACACAGAGTAGAGGCAAATTCTGTCACGAACTGTCATAAAGCAATAGCTTTATCTATGTATCTATTAGCAAATATACTTACTTATACCCTACATATATATTTTTATCTGTGGTCTGGACCACAACCAGTGATTTGTTGGTAAATGATTAGCAACTAGCTACCTAGTGGGGAAATGTGTAAGTATGCAGGTACATACTTTTGTTATAGATTTTTCTTAATATAAAAAATATGTAGCACATGGTTTAAAAACAATGAAATAAGCAAATATCCTTTGTTATAAACTCCATATAGCTAAATAATTCTCACAGAATGCTCTCATTGATATTTTGCTGGACTCTTGTATCCATAGCCAACCTGTAGTTTCAAGTCAGCCATGTTTGACTAATGGAGTTGCATCTGATTTGTAGCACCTGCCAATTTCCTTGGTGTAAATACTCCCAGCATATTTCTTGTCACTGAACGTGGAGGGAGTTGGGAAGAACTGCACTTGGGAATGTAACCTAATTTGGGAATAGGGTCTTTGCAGATCTAATTAAGGATCTCAAGATGAGATTATCCTGGACTTAGAGGGGCCCTCTAAATCTAATGGCTAGTGTCCTGAAAAGAAACAGGAGAGAAGACACACAGAGGAAAGAGGGCCACGTTAAGACAGAGCAGAGACTGGGGTTATTCAGCGACAAGGAATGCCAAGGGCTGACAGGCAGTCACGAGAAGCTAGGCGAGTGCCACGGAAGGGTCACGTCCTCACAGCCTCCGGAAGGACCAAGCCTGCCCACAGCTTCATTTCAGACTGCTGGCCTCCGCAACTGGCAGATACCACATTCCTGCTTTCCCAGGCCATCGAGTTTGTTGTGGTGATGTGTTATGGCCGCCCCAGGAAACTGACACAGCAGCAAAGGTATGACCGCAGTTTGGGAAACACTGACTTAGACACCAGCCATGCCCGGCAGACAGAGGACATAGTTCTGTGATAAACTGAGGGCCGAGTTTCCAATACCCTCAATCTGATCTCCGCAACAGGCCCCTAACCGGCATTTTCACTCAACAAAAATTAAGTGTTTTGAAAGTGAAAATAAATTGAATAGTTTAAACTCCATAGCTGCTTTAAAACACGTTTATTTTCTAATGGGATTTGATCTCAGGTCCCAATAGGGGGATCACCATATCGGACCTCGAGTTCATAAGCTCACTTTTGGGAAGGATGGGTCGGCCCTTGTCTCACCATGTTACAGAAGGCTCGGGTGGAGGAGGCGTCTCGCGCCTCCAGGAGAGACTCGGCCATGCTGTGATCACCGTTCTAGCGCCTACAAGGCTCTATTTGCTCTCCCCACCTCCAGCAAACACCCCCACGGGCGCCTTTTCCCCAGACCAGCGCAAGACGCGGAGGCCGAGGTTCGAACCTGCTACAGGCGGAGCGGGTGGCCTGTAGCAGGCCTGAGGGAAGCGAGAGGCGCAGAGCCTTGCGTTCGGGGACAGAGGCCCCCGGCGGCCGACACGGGGAGCAGCGCTGGCGCACGCGTTCCTCGGGGGGCGGGGCCCGCGGGTTGTGCGCGCATGCGCCCGAGGGAGGAGGCGTTCCGGACTGGGCCTAGGGCGCGACGGTGGCCGAGAGCGCACACAGGGCGGCGGACGGTGGCCGACGAGGTCCGGCATGGAGCACTTAGAGCGCTGTGCGTGGTTCCTCCGGGGGACGCTGGTGCGGGGGGCCGTGCGGCGCTACCTGCCCTGGGCGCTGGCGGCCTCCATGCTGGCGGGCTCCCTTCTCAAGGAGCTCTCCCCGCTGCCCGAGAGCTACCTCAGCAACAAGCGCAACGTCCTCAACGTGTGAGTGCGCCCCGGGTCCTCTCCTGCCCCCGCCATAGCCGGCCGGCGGTCGCCTCGTCCAGAGCTGGGGGCCAGCTGCTCTGACGGACGAGTCGGTGGAAGGGCAGCATCTGCACGCGTGTCGCGGCCGAGGGACCCCGGCATAGCTAGTGTCGCTAGCAGTTCGGTGTGCACACGCAAACGGGACAGCCTGGGCAGGTGACGAGCAGGGTGGGGTGTGACTGTGTGTAGGAGCGCAGGGCGGGGAGCGGGGTGAGCCAGCCTACGTCTCTGCTCCCCCACCTCCCCGGGAGTCAGGAGTTGGCCCCTATCCTGGGGGCGATGCCCCCCTCCCTGCAGCCTGCCGGTGTCAATCCCCATGCCTCCACCCTAACCCCAACCCCCCAGATCTTATGACAGTTCCATCACCACCTGTGACAGAGCTGTCCCCCTTTCGCTTTGGGAGCCTTGTCCCAGCCTAGGACGGGGCCCGCACTGCGAGATAACCTCGGAGGAGTGGAACCCTCCAGGCTATGCCCTTTCCCCAGATCTCCTTGGACTTTCCCAACCACTCAAAGTTCATGGCAGGGACCCAGGAAAGCAATCCAGCTGGGCTCTTTGCAATACCGCCTTAACTGCACCCACTCACTCCTTTTCCTTCTCTTCTCTTCTCTTCCCTTCTCTTCTCTTCTCTTCTCTTCTCTTCTCTTCTCTTCTCTTCTCTTCTCTTCTCTTCTCTTCTCTTCTCTCTTTCTTTTTCTTTCTTTCTCCTCTGACTGTTGCACAAAAACACTACTGCAGTAGGTAAACTCTGAACGATGACATTTCTTCCTTGCTGTGGCCCTAGATTCTTTAGAATTACAGTGTCAGCAGCATCTCTCTAAATCAACCCAACTTCAGTTACCTACTTCAAATCCCGGCCTCTGTCCCGAGCAGTTTTGCCAGATGCCTGACAGGTGTTTGCTCTGGCAAGTTCTGTATTAGTGTCAGGGAAAACATTTAGGATAGGCCCTGGGGTGGTGTCTTAGGAACCTTTGGAACCCAGGAAAGGGTAGTCCTGTCCTTGGCTACCTTCCTTCCTCACCCACTCACTTAGTCCAGTGGAGGCTGGACTAAGAATAGATTATGAGAGTGGTGGTCGCCCCAAGTCTCCTGCCTGTTGCTGCTGGTCCCCAGGCCAGCCCCTTTGACAGCACAGGGGAGGCAGATGAGGCAACTGCTGCTTTATCTGGCCTGGGTGAGTGGGGAGCCACGCAGCCTGGCAGACAAGCCCCTGTTGTTTGCCAGTAGCCATGGGTTCTGGCATTTTGTACCAAGCTTCTGTGCTAACTCATGGAAAGGAACCAGTGAATCATTGGCTCAGAAAGGGATTTAAAAATATCACTGGGTTCCCTCAGCTCTGTTTGACACCTGAGGAGACAGGCCTAGAGAAGTACGGCGATAAGGTAAGTAGAGTCAGGATTTGAGTCTGGATCTTCTAGTGTGACGTCATGCTCTTTTCCGAGATCCTTTTCTGCTGCACAGGAGGGAACCCTGGTGTAAAAAAGCATGAGCTCTGGGACGGCCAGACCTTGGCTTCGTCTGTGCTTGTGGGTTGTGTAAGTATGACCCAGGGCGAGTTTTTCAACTTCTCTGAGTCTCAGATTCTTTCTCTATAAAATGGGGAAAATGATTCCTTCCTCCAGGGAGTGTGCGTGTTCTATGGGAAAGTGAAGGTAGGTGAAAGCTCTTAGCATATGGCAGGTGCTCAACTATGATTACTTTCCTGAACAGGTAGCATAGTGCTTAAGATCACAGACCCAGCTCTAAGACTTGTGATCTCCACTTCAGGCCAGTCTCCTCATGCAGCACAGCCACAGTGCAGAATCAGTTTTCTTGTCTGTAAATGAGGATAATAACAGTCCCTTATCATATACAGTTGCTAAGGGCTAAGTAGTTAAAACACTTAAAGTATTTAGTAAGTTGTCATCTGCAGCTTTTATCAACTTTTCTCATGTTCCCTCCCTTGAGAGTCTAGAGACCTGGGTTGTGACATTGTTTCCTCTCTACCACTGTGCCCTCTCTTCACCTCCACTCTCCCTCCTCTGCCAGGTATTTTGTCAAAGTGGCCTGGGGCTGGACCGTCTGTCTCCTCCTGCCTTTCATTGCCCTCACCAACTACCACCTGACAGGCAAGGCTGGCGTGGTCCTGCGGCGGTTGAGCACCCTGCTTGTGGGCACGGCCATCTGGTACGTCTGCACAGTCATCTTCTCCAGCGTTGAACACTACACGGGCAGCTGCTACCAGTCCCCCGCCCTGGAAGGGATCAGAAAGGAGCCCCAGGATAAGCAGCAGTGCCACCGGGAAGGGGGCTTTTGGTATGGCTTTGACATCTCAGGCCACTCCTTCTTGCTGACCTTCTGTGCCCTCATGATTGTGGAGGAGATGGCTGTGCTGCACGAGGTGAAGACGGACCGAAACCACTGCCTCCACACCACCATCACCACCCTGGTGGTCGCCCTGGGCTTCCTGACCTTCATTTGGGTGTGGATGTTCCTGTGCACTGCCGTTTATTTCCACAACCTGTCCCAGAAAGTGTTTGGCACCCTGTTCGGTTTGCTGGGCTGGTATGGCACCTACGGGTGTTGGTATCTGAAATCTTTTTCCCCAGGACTTCCTCCCCAGACCTCTAGTTTGAATTTGAAGCAAGACAGTCATAAGAAATAAAAAAAAGAAACAAAAGGAGTGACAGCAGGACAATGGGTAATATATTTTTCTTAATTATTTGACTAAATTATTGATCCTACGTCAGAGAGGAAGCTTACCAGGCAGTTTTGGTGGGTGATGGCGGAGTCTGGGGAGTGACTGGCGACGTCACTGTGTGTCCCAAGCACCGCCATTTCCCGTTAGGCACTTTTTGTCCCTGGCAAGACTTGACCTTAATCTGGACTGTCCGTTTTGTCCCTAGAGGGCACTTAGGCTCAGGGAGAGTGCAGAATCAGGAAAGCCGCCTTTGTGTGGCTGAAGGGGAGGCCAGCATCTCAGGACTCCTCTGCCGCCTTTGTTCTCTCCCTGATTCTAGTTTCCTTTTGTTTTGGTGACGGTTGATGCTGTTATTTAACAATATTTCTCTCGGGACAAAATAACCAACTGTTGCCTGAAAGACAATGGTTTTAGTATTTGTTTCATCTGTGGGCTGTTAACTATTACAACTGGCTTATGATTAGCTATCAAAACACTTAAACTGGAGTGCCTCTCCTAGTGAATATTGGATGAACAGTGATCATTTTCCATCATGTTATCTGCTACATATATTGGTGTCAATAAGGCTAAGGTTTCTTTCGTATATTTTGAGTGAATGCTTTATAGTTTTTGATAACAACTGTGCATTTGTTCTTTGTTGACAAAACTGAAAATAACTCACAACTCCACTGCTGCACTTTGGCACATGTGTGTAAATTGCTTCGAGGGGGTTGTTTTTAGAACACTAGCTTTTTATAAACCAAACTCTTGGCTTATGGTATTAAATTCCACCTGTGAGGCTCTTTTCCTGTTAAGAATAAAATCAGGAAGTAGACATTTTAATAACAACTTGATCAATTTTAAGCCAAGTCAGAGTAATTTTACAAAATGCGCAATTGCACTGAAACTTTCCTGACCACATGTCATTGGTATAAACTGACCTGTGCTTCAGAGTCATGTGTATGTTGATCATTAGCTGTGGCCTGAGGCATTTTTCCCTTTTGGATATGATTATGATAAGTCAGAAGTGAAGGAGAATGTTCTCCATTGCCTTTGATGGCAAGACACTAAGCTGTTTGCACAGGTGTCCTTATCAAATGGTGGCATGACTTTGGTTCCACCCTCCTCTTATCTGTACCACCATCAAAGGCAAACCAAACCTCTTCTCTTGGTCTTGAAACCACCTTTTCTGTCCCCTTTGCAGCCCTTCTCAATTTCCCGCCCTGTGGTTCTGTGGTCCTGACCGTGAGAATGCTGGGAAGGATTAGAAATCCTGTCACCTCCGCCTCACAAAGGCACAGTTATATGCTCTGTGATAAGACACCCCCTTCCCCTCCCTCAGGCTGTCTCCTTAAGCCTTTCAAACAGAACCCCTTGCATATTGGATAATCCTTTGAAGCTTCTTTGACGCCCCCATGACCCCCCAGTTAATAGCATACAGATGAGCACTGCACTCTCTGGCTTAACTCAGGCTGAGGTTGTTAGGAGCTTGCGCTCTGGAAAACCTTCAGGGGTAAATCATGTTTCATACAGGATATATTTACAATATGAAGTTTGTATCCCCTGTGTACCCAGTTGAGCTGCAAGTTACCTTGTATCAATCAAAATGTGAGGTGGCCCGGGGCTGGTGTGGCTCAGTGGTTGAGCATCAACCTATGAACCCGGAGGTCAGGGTTTGATTTCCCATCAGGGCACATGCCCGAGTTGCCATCTTGATCCTCAGTGTGGTATTTGTAAGAGGCAGCTGTTTGATGATTCTCTCTCACCATTGATGTGTCTATCTCTCCCTCTCCTTTCCTCTCTGAAACCAATTTAAAAAAATGTATTATATAAAAAAAAAAAAAAGTGAAGTGTGTTACTTTGTACCCGAAGAAGGTAACAGAAACGCTGGCAATGAAATTTGGAGGTGTCACCCTGGTGCTTGGGAGCATTGGAAAAGGGCAGTGGCCCCAGGAGATTAGTTTTGCTCTGTGGAGTGGGAGTGGGGTGGAAGTGGGGGTGGAGTAGGTAGCAGGAACTTGTGGAAGGGATTGAAATCTCTCCAAAGTTTCATGTTCAGCACCAAAAGGCAACAGGCACAAGGTGACTCCAGAAGTTCATTTGTCACACTTAAATCTCTAGACATTTTTCTCGTCTGGATCTGATTTAAGCTCAGCATTAAATAATTCTGCAGGAGGGGAAAAAAAAAAAAAAACCTCTGCAGAAAGTATCCATTACGGAGCCTTGTACATCGATTAGTCTTCCACTGCTTCCTGATCATTCTTAGCACCCTTGCCTTTGTCTTGGGAGCGTGCCTTCTGTCCCTATGTGAGACACTTTGGTGCAGCTGAGTTTGGGTGTAAGCCAATGAGATGTGGGTTCAACTCTTGACATCACTGCTGAGAGCCATCTGACCGCGGGCAAGCCTCATTTTCCTCGTGTAATACAGAGGTGACACTGTTAGGACTCAGGGACATGATGCGTGTAAAATGCCCAGCGCATGTATGGTCCCCTACCCCTTTTTCTTGATTAAGCCGTTTCAAACTTTTTGGCTCCTCCAGAGAATGCAGGGAAACTAACATCTTTTGAATGGCATTTGGGGGTCTGTGTCTCCTTGTTGAAATAAGCTTCATTGTCTTTTGAAAAGTGTGCTGTCCCCAGGCGCTGAACAAGAGGCTTTTGAGGGCATCTGTGATCCCAGAATACTGCCATGCTGGTCGTGCCTCTCCACATGGAGGTTCATTCCCTGACGCCCCGTTTTCCATGTGCATCTGTCATAGTCTGAGTACCAGATTGTATTTAGAGAATGACTCTTGCCACTGTTATATACACACAGGTCCTATGTGTAAACAAGCAAATTAAGTAAACAGGAGATAATGAAATACCATATTCCAGCTTCTGTGTGCTCCTTTCTAATACATTTAAGGAAGTCTGCAATCCGTACTGCTCAGCTCACTTTATGAAAGTAGCATTAATTCTTTGTATATATGGCTGTAGTTAATTTTATTTTTTTTCTCTCCTAAGTCCTGTAAACTAAATATGTGTTCAGTCATATATTTAGCTTGATTTACTCCCTCCCTCCACCATATCTGTGTCTTGGAGTCCTGGCCTCTGGATCATATTCTTGGCAGGAGAAGAGGTAAGCCTCATGGAAATAACACCAAAGAGCATTTACAAAGTTCACTCAAATGAGGTCATCTTTGAAAGTGCCTCAGAGCCCTGGAGACCTAGATGCAGGTGAAGGCTATTTGTGCCTTTTAGGGCCCACTCATTTGCCAGCATGACCTACTTGGGCAACCCCAGGTAGTGTCTGCGAAAGCTCAATGGCTCCAGGATTAGAATCTCCTCACACAGCAACATTCCTCTCCAAATTCTTTCAGTAGCAATGAACCCTTCTTGAGTTCATACTGTGAGCCAGGAGCTGGGAAGGATGATAGGTTCCCCCTCTCTTGGACCTTGTAGTCCAAAGTCAGTCCCTTTGGAGCCTAAGGTGTGTGCTGGGATTGCAAAGGTAAATTTGGCACACCTATACCTTCGAGGAATTTTCACCATAAAGTGTCTGAGTGCTGGTTAAGGTCAAGGTATGGGAATAGAAAGCAATGGACAACCAGCTGCGCTAGGAAATGAGGGAATGTATTCACAGAGTCTAACAATTCTTTTGGGCCTTGAAGGATGAGGAGGAGATCAAGCAGTTAGGCAGAGAAGGGCATCCAAGGAAGTTAAGAACACCATGCCTAAGGACACATAGCTATGCTGCCATAATTTTTATTCAGATGGCCCTACTCAAGAAACCTAACTCTCCCATCATTTTCAAAAGCAACGGAGATGGAAGAAAGGCAGACTGACAGGACTGTTTGAGCCAGGTCTCACCATTGCTTTTTCTGATTTTCTGTGTGACCTTGAATCAGTGACTCAGCATCTCTGGGTCTCACTTTCCGTGGCTGATAAATGATGGTAGTGGATTGAATAACCTCACCAACTCTCCTACTCTCTTCTGTTTCTCTGTGCTGTTTGATGACAAGTTCTTCCAAGCTGGTTATGACTTTTATTTTAGGAAAGAACATGAAAAGAAACTCCCTCTCGGAGCTGAGGTGGCAGCTGGGTGAGTGATGAAGGAGCGGCCCTCTGGATGCACTTATCACAGTCTCTCCCCCCACCCCCCGCCCCCCACTTTCTCTGCGTTGGCAGCCTGTTGTAGTTCAGACCTTTGCATGGGTTCATATAGGGTTTCTGGATGTGGGAAGCTGATCCTAGTTCCCAGAGGGGTGAACTACAGAAGTCTTTTTAAAAAGTCTCCAAGTTTTCCGGACCTGGTGGAGCAGGAGGCGCCATCATGGGAGTCGACATCCGGCACAACAAAGACCGCAAGGTCCGGCGCAAGGAGCCCAAGAGCCAGGACATCTACCTGAGGCTGCTGGTCAAGCTGTACAGGTTCCTGGCCAGAAGAACCAACTCCACTTTCAACCAAGTGGTGCTCAAGAGGTTGTTCATGAGTCGCACCAACCGGCCGCCGCTGTCCCTTTCCCGGATGATCCGCAAGATGAAGCTTCCTGGCCGTGAGGGCAAGACCGCCGTGGTCGTAGGGACTATCACTGATGACGTGAGAATCCAGGAGGTGCCCAAACTGAAGGTGTGTGCCCTTCGCGGGAGCAGCCGTGCCCGGAGCCGCATCCTCAAGGCTGGGGGCAAGATTCTCACCTTCGACCAGCTGGCCCTGGACTCCCCCAAGGGCTGTGGCACTGTCCTGCTTTCTGGTCCTCGCAAGGGCCGCGAGGTGTACAGGCATTTCGGCAAGGCCCCCGGAACCCCCCACAGCCACACCAAACCCTACGTGCGATCCAAGGGCCGGAAGTTCGAGCGTGCAAGAGGCCGCCGGGCCAGCCGCGGCTACAAAAACTAACCCTGAATCCTGTCATGTTATTAAAGAGGTTTTGGACGCTGAAAAAAAAAAAAAAATAAAAAAATAAAAAAATAAAAAAGTCTCCAAAATAGCTGGGACCGGTTTAGCTCAATGGATAGAGCGTCGGCTTGGGGACTGAAGGGACCCGGGTTCGATTCCGGTCAAGGGCATGTACCTTGGTTGCGGGCATATATCCCCAGTAGGGGGTGTGCAAGAGGCAACTGATCGATGACTCTCTCTCATCGATGTTTCTAACTCTCTATCTCTCTCCCTTCCTCTCTGTACAAAATCAATAAAATATATTTAAAAAAAAAAAAGTCTCCAAAATAAAACCATTTTTCATAGCTATTAAGGAGGAGGTAGTTTCTGTTAAGAGAAACCCTGTGCAGTATAGTCATCTTCAGAAATTGTCCTCTTAAAGTTGAACACCAGCGCAGAAAACAGATGTTCTTATACCTTGAGGCACATGTGTCAAACACAAGGCCCGCGGGCCAAATCCGTCCCGCCAGGCCTTGCAATGTGGCCCGCACCGCGCTGTCATCACTGCACTCCGCTGCGTTTCCATCACAATGACAGTTTATGACTGTTCAGTAAACCATTCGGCCCGCGATTTAGGCTGGATTTTAGATTTTGGCCCCTTCTCTGATTGAGTTCGACACCCCTACTGGGGTGTGGTGGTAAACTGGTACAACCTGTTTAAATGGTAACCTAGTAGTATCCAAACTTGAATTGTGCAGACCGTTCCCCAAGAGGAGGGGAACCTATCATCCTTCAGTCTAGGGTAGGGGTGTCAAACTCAATCAGAGAAGGGGCCAAAATCTAAAATCCAGCCTAAATCGCGGGCCGAATGGTTTACTGAACAGTCATAAACTGTCATTGTGATGGAAACGCAGCGGAGTGCAGTGATGACAGCGCGGTGCGGGCCACATTGCAAGGCCTGGCGGGACGGATTTGGCCCGCGGGCCTTGTGTTTGACACATGTGGTCTAGGGTTTGGGCTATGGAAATGCTTGTAGAAGTGGACAAAGATAAGTACAAAGATTTTATGCAGCTCTGTTACCGTGAAAAGTTGTCAGCTCCAATGCAATCAGTTAAATAAATTATGGTAGCTCTGTATTAGCAATATAATGCAGTCATTATAAAGAATAAATGTTCTATTTAGTGTGGAATTTGGTGGCTGGAAGACTTGGTTTTGTGCTGACTGTAATGTACAGCTGTGTGCCCTTAAACCAGTTAATGTCTTCGAGCCTCTGTAAATGAGGTGATAGTGCCTCACCTCTTTCAACATTCACTGCCCCAATCATTGAGGAGCTTCAAGTAAACCAGGCACTGTGCTGGGCACCGCATGCATTCGAAGAGCCATGGTGTTTTCAGGGGGTTTACACACTAGTTGGGCACAGACAATAAAATGAACAACTCCAAACAGGGTGCTGGGCTCAAAAGCAGAGTGCCCCCCCAAAACTGCCCTAACATTGTCACAGCTCAGGCAGAGATGATTTACACAAAGCTCTTAGACAAGCAAAGGAGTGGGCGAGGTTGGCATGGACTCAAGCCAGACTGCCTGGGTTCCAATTCTGGCTCTGCCATACACACTGGCTGTGTCACCTTCAGCAGTTCCTTAACATCTATGCCTTGGTTTCCTCATCTGTAAAATGGGAGTAATTGATACTTATAAAGTGCTTAGAACACAGGACCTAGTATATATGGGGTGCTATATAAATGTCTTTCAAGTGCACAGTAAGTCCCTAATGTGCCCTCATTACTGTAACCACTTTAAAATCAGGACAGAGAAACCCCATAAGTAGCCCTCATAGATGCACAATATTTTATAATCATTAGTTCCCATTTTGGTCCACTCAGAGGTAGTTAAAACGTAGTCAATGAATGGGGAAGGCCGTGTCCCAGTGATCTAGCATGGGAAACGAGTCCCTAAGGCAGCATTCTGGTTTCCAGATTAACTAGAGCGTGAGGGAGAGCAAGAGACAATTTTTCCAGGAGAGGACAGTCGTATCCATGGGGTTCTTTTGGCCAAAGGAAAGCAATCCTCCCTCTTACTCCCCTTCCTCTGCCTCTCCTCCCTCCCCCTTTTGAGGTGCTGTCTATTCACAGGCAACCCAAGGGCTGCCTGGTCTTGGCTTCCAGGCTACATGTTTTGGGGGAACTGATCTGGAAGCTTTATCATGGAGCCTTGTGACTTCCTGTCTTCTCTGCTTTGGCTGCCTGGGGAATGTGTGTGAGTGCTCAGGAGGTAAGTAGGTGGGGATGCCTGAGAGCCACCTTGATTAGCTTACTGGAGCAAAGTTACTCAGGCCTTGTCCTACCGCTGCTGTGGCCCATTTCCCAACCACTCCTTTTATTGCTTCTTGCCTCTACTTGCATTGGCTGAGCATGCTGTGTTTGCCAGGTATCCCTGTGCAGCTGGGGACGGAGGCAGGGGTGAGTGGGTGGGGGTATAAATGGACTCTCATCTGGAGTTTTAGAGGCATTGGACTTGAGCAAGTAGACTGCATCCAAATCCTGCCTACCCACTCCTCAGCCATGTGGTCTTAGGCAAGTCACTTAGCTTCTCTGGGCTTGTTACTCATCTCTGAAAGGGGGATAATTCTTCCTCACTAGTCTTTGACATCATAGATGGGAAAATATTTTATGAGCTTTAAAATATCATGCATCTTTGAGGGCTACTTATTATTGAGGAGGAGATTTATCTTTACCTAATGAGTCTCTCAAAAGCCTGGGCACTGTAACTCCATCAGGTGGTACAGTTTTTTCAGATGTGGTTTCCACATGAAAGCAAATCAGCGTAGATTTGACACGTTGCATTCAGTTCCTGGTCTGGAAAATGTTATTCTATCAGTGGGGGCCACCAAAAGCCCTGAGCTCTACTCGGCAGGATGTGCAGCAGTGAGCAGCACGTCCTCACTTTCTTACAGTACATGTCAGCTTATCTGTTCTCTGGCATCATCTAGTCCAGCGGTCGCCGGCCGGTGTCCACAGACCACTGGTGGTCCGTGAGGTCCGAAAGGTTGGTAACTACTGATCTAGTCTGGATTATTCTTTTTTTTTAAATATATTTATTGATTTTTTACAGAGAGGAAGGGAGAGAGATAGAGAGCTAGAAACGTCGATGAGAGAGAAACATCGACCAGCTGCCTCTTGCACACCCCCTACCGGGGATATGCCCGCAACCAAGGTACATGCCCTTGACCGGAATCGAACCCGGGACCTTTCAGTCCGCAGACCAACACTCTACCACTGAGCCAAACCAGCTTCGGCTAGTCTGGATTATTCTGATGTCCTCTAAGAACACACTGATCCACCACATTGATGACATCTTGCTGTACCTGTGAGCAGGAAATAGCAGGTACACCAGATGCTTTAGGAAGACCCAGGCATGTCAGAGGGTGGTATGTAAACCCCATGGGCATTCAGAAGCCTGGCAGCTTGGTAAAGTTTCTAGGGACCTGGAGGTTAGGAAACGTCGGGTTATCCCTTCCAAGTAAAAGACAAGTTGCTGCTCCTATCCCCAAGAAAAAAGCACAACTGGTAGCCCTCTTTGGGTTTGGGAGGGAATGTACATGCAATTGTGTGCGGCTGCAAACCATTTACTGAGTAACCCATACATAGGACAGCCAATTTTGAATGGATCCCAAGGCAGATTTAGGCCACAGTGCAAGATGCTCGGCCAGTTGAGCTACATGACCCAGTCGATCCAATGGTGTTTAAGTTGTTTATGATATTTACAGTTTACATTTCCTTTTCAGCCCCCAGCAAGTCCTAATAGGAAAATCTCTGCCCATCTCTAGGACTTAGAGCAAAGTCATGTCCTCTTCTACAAATAACAATTATTCCTTTAAAATACCCTGAGTGGCCAAATTATTATCTATGATCTCTGAATGCACAATAATCTGGCCACTCAGTGTATATTCTATATAATAAAAGGCTAATATGCAAGTTGTCTCCTCAACCAGGAGCTGGACCAGCAGGCAAGCCGGCCACTCGCCCATGCCCCCTCCCCCTGGCCAGGCTGCCCGGATCCCACCCATGCACAAATTCATGCACCCAGGCCTCTAATGTTTTATACACACACACACACACACACACACACACACACACACACACTGAGTGGCCAGATTATTATGCGTTCAGAGGTCATAATATGGCCACTCAGTGTATAGTGACTGGCTTGCTACTGAGCTGTGATAGAGACCTAACACCTGACCAGGAGACATCAACTGACTATGTAACCTGAGCTGCCCATCATGGACTAGATGTCATCTGATTCATCAAGTTATAAAGCTAGACATGTATCACAGCATTCTCTCATCAAGTGAGAATGTCACCTATTCCTACCACATTGCCACCGCTTCCTCAGTCAATACCTAAGGCCCCATAACAAATACCCTGGGATCAATTGATGGAGGAAGAAAAAGCTCAGGCCTGGAACCAATTGGAAGTGGGTGGTTGCAGCACTATAGGAAGGCCCTGAAAAACATTGGAGAAGGGAAATCTTTTCAGTGAACAGAACTTCAAGCAATACAGTCGGCTCTCCCTATCTGCAGGTTTTGCATCTGCAGATTCAACCAACTAGGTAGGGATAAAAATATTTGGGGAGAAGTGTTACTTTAAAAAAAATTACTGCTGAAACTGGTTTGGCTCAGTGGATAGGGTCCCAGGTTCGATTCCGGTCAAGGGCATATACCTTGGTTGCGGGCACATCCCCAGTAGGGGGTGTGCAAGAGGCAGCTGATCGATGTTTCTCTCTAATCTATGTTTCTAGCTTTGTATCCCTTCCCCTTCCTCTCTGTAAAAACTCAATAAAATATATATATATTTTTTAAAAATTACTGATTTTAGAGAGGGAAACTTGGTTTCAGTCTTGGTATTCCATACAACATTGCTTCTGACCAAAGAGGAGACATTATAGTAAAATAAATGTAGCAGTGTGATTATACCTATGGAATTTTCTGATCTTATCTAGAAGCAACAGACTTATAGAAAACTGAGATGGCCAGCTGGGAGACACTGCAATGTTGGGATGCTGTCTAAAGGATACATCACATACTTTGTACCAACCATAGTGCTATTTCTCCACATGCAGAAAACGGATCCAGCAATGCTGAGGTGGAAATGGGAGGGACTACTTTCACTATTGCACAAAATAACCCATTCACAAAAAATGTTACTTTCTATCCCTAAAACTTTGGACTAGATATTTGGCTAGATATTATAGTTATCAAGGAAGGAATGTTTCTATTAGGGAAAACATTGATTGCCACTCAGCCATTTTGAGTTTCTCATACCATTGCATGGCTATGGTATGAGAAGTGTTCAGAGATCAAAGGTTACGCTACTGGCTGGCATGATTGGTCTGAACATCAAGAGTAAATTGGATTGCTGCTACAGTGGTGGCATGGAAGATTGTATGGGAACTAGAAGATTCTTTGGGGGCCCTGTTATACTTCCACATCCAACAGTAAAAGATTAATAGAAGATGACAATAGCCCAAGTCTGAATCATTTCACCAGTAAAATACCCCAAATATGAGGTCCTGGCTGGGGGCAAATCAAACCAAACAAACAAAAAAAGAATAGCGAGTGGGGAAAAAAGAAATTATAAATATCAAAATGACCTTAGGATCAATTACAGAAATGAGAGCTGAAGCAACTATGAGTGTTTTCTTTCCTGCTTGTCATATATGTGCATATATTGCATATAAAGATTACTGGTGATAGCTAAATTGATGTTTTAATCTACATATTACAGTATATTGAGGTGTGCCTCTATAGGTGACCTCTAGGACTAGAGGTGGACCAAAAAGAGACTCTTGACATCATCCAGAGTGATGTTACTGACGGGTGGGGCTTTGAGAGAAGTTGTATCCTCATTTCAGGAGAGCATTGGTCCCGTTAGGATTAAGCATGATGTTATTGTCCATGCGTGGAGTTCAGTTATGAGTGGGAGGGTCTGTGTGGATGTTTAAGGAGCCAAGGGGTGGACAGCGTTAGAAGTGCTTGTCCTGTCTTGGCCCTGGCTATTCTTTTCTTTCATCTTGGTGGGAAAAATTCTTATATTTTTTTAATAAAATAAAACTATGCCTTATGTTCCACAAATTACACTTCTGGTTTAACGCTCTTGGGGCATTTGAACACATTTTTCCCTGGGAAATTGTGGGGACATGTGCCCTGGGAGCCCCCCCCCCCCCCGAAAGGCTATTACATAAGCAAAAGGCTGTGAGCATGCTCTGTAAACTGTGAAGCACTCTCCCCAGTTTATGTCAAGAGGTGGGTTTATGTTAAGAGCAGAACTTTGCCAAGTCTATCTGGGAGCCTTCCCTACACTCATCAACTTGAAACCTGAACTCACTGATGCTGAATCTTGTGTCTCCACCTCTCTGACACCAGCCTTTGCAAATGAGAGCTCGATGGCAACACAGGTTTACAAATGAAAAGCAACTGCTTCTCCTGGATGCTTTATTGGGGGCTTTCAGTGGTTTCTAAGCATGAAAGGCAGTGACACTCGGACCTTCTCCCAACATGCAAAAGGCACAGGAAAGTGAGACAGGACCAGGGTGGGCAGCGTAGGTGAGGAGGTCCCCCTGTGTGGCATGGTGGGGCATGTGAGGCACCTCACCAGTGATGGGACAGGTGGGCATTAAAGGAGATGGCTTTGGCAGAGGCTAGGAGAGGGACTTGAGGTTCATCAACCTCCAGACCCATCCCTGCACTCAGGCCGGACTGACCTTCTAAGATAAGTGAACATGGCTTTTGCTGAAAGCCCACCTCACATGGTGGGAAAAATCAACTCCAGGTGGGAAGAGGATGGTGGATGCTGCCTTCAGGGATTACTGGTAAAGTGCCAAATCAAACTCACTGGCCACAGCAGGAGGGGAATGAGGGTGTGCTCATGGTGTCCGTCCCAGTCCTGGTTTGGTGGTTGGGTGCCACTGCCTTGGCTTAAGCCACTGCTGTCTCAGTCCATGTCCAGGAGAAGAATGAAGTCCCTTCCGATCTTCACGGGCCTCCCCACGGAGTCTCCGGGTCTCTAGCCCCACCCAGAGGTACCACTTAGAAGAGTTGAGTCTTGATGTTGGCTTTGTCCTGTGGAAAGTTCCCTGGGCAAGAGGGAAGGGGAGGCGAGGGGTCAGGCCCTCTGAGCCCCCAGCACCTCCCAGAATCTGGGCTCTGATGGGTGAAATGGCCTGGGACTCACCTCAGATCCTAACCAGTCCCCACAGTTCCATCTTGAGACCTTGAATCAAAAGAAAAGGCATTCGTGCTTTGTTTCTGTTCTCTCTCTCTCTCTCTCACTCTTTCTCTCCATTAGTAGTGCCATGGCTTCAACTCACGGCATTGGCAACGTCTACTTCTAAACTATGGAATGTTTTCACATTAACAATAGAGTTACTCCGAACAAGGGGTGGGGAAGGGGCTGTCCAAGTGTTCGTGAGACAGTGCATTATTGAGAGCTCACTGGGGATCACACAGCACAGAGACACTGAGAGTCAGACACCAAGCCCAGGCCTGGCTCAGCTCTAGATGTATTTTTTCTTGAGGTACCAGTAGGCAAAATAGCCCATCCCGCCCAGGGAGCCCATGAGGAAGGAGGCCCCAAAGAAAGATGGCGGTTTCCGCTTGACCAGCCGGAATGCATTGGGGATGACAGCCGAGAGCAGAGTGGTATGGATGTCGCCGAGAACTTTCCGGAAGGCAAAGCGCTTCTGGACCCTCTCAAAGAAGGACTGCAGGTTGGGCCGGCTGCCGTCCTCCCAGTATTTCTTGGACAGTCCCAGGAACTTGAGGCGGTGCAGGGTGGCTCCCAGAAGGACGTCGGCGAGAGTGAAGGCACAGCCGCAGAGCCACAGCTCACATTTCTGTCCTAGAGTGGAAGAGAGAAGAGATGGGGGCAGAGGGATCAGCTTTTCAACCCCCATGCACTCGATCCTCTCTCCTTGACTCCTTCGATGTTTGTCTGGCTGCCATGGCGTTTCCCCAGGGTCATTCACTCCTATATAACTTTAATGATTTTGCCACATCCTTTTTGCTATCCCTATCATTTTTTTTTCCTTTAAATCAACTGAATGTTTAAGTGCAAGCACTGAGCTTTGGGGCTTCAAGATTTAGATACTGAGAAACAGGAGAAATCATTGAAGAAGCATGAGGAGGAGTGGCCTGATGGCCGCCAGGGTGTGGTGTCGTGGAAGACAAGATAAAAAAGTGTTCCAAGGAGAAGGGAATACTCAGCTGTGTTCAGAAGCTGCAGAGAGGTCAAGTAAGAGGAGGCCTGAGGATGGAGATTATAATTGGCAGCTGGTAACCTTGATAAGAGCAGCTGGAGTAGATGCTGACAATGAAAGCCTCGTTGGAAGGAGTTCAAGTGAGAAAGGGAGAAGAATTGGCGATGGTAAGCAAAGATCACTCATTCAAGGAATTTTGCTGTAATGGAAAGGATACACTAATAATTTGACACAGGTCAAGAGTGTTTTTGTAAGTTGGGAGGAAAAACTAACGTGGATCTACTCTCCTCCCTTCTCCATGCTGCTCCGTGCCCCAGAAGAGTGACTCTGGTTCCAGAGGGTTCCGCCATTGGGGAGCAGTGGCAGGAGGAAGGATGGTGGTGAGAGTGAGGTCAGGGGCTTACACCCCTCGGTTTCCTCTCTGCGGGTCATTGTGGACTGGCTGCGTCCCCAGTATGAAAGCCACAGCTTCTGTCAGGTGGCCCTCTCTATGCAGTCTGTCCATCCAGTTCCTGAAACTGTCCCACCTCTCACGACCTCAGGCCCAGGATACCACACTTTTCCTTGTGGTTTCCCTAAATCCCGTCCACATGTTTATAAACAGTCCCTATAATAAGCCTCCTCAGTTACCAATGTGAGGTCACCCTGTGTCCTATGGGGTCCTGCCTGGACCACACCCTTCTGTCCTTTCATGGACTTTGCATCATTGGTCCTACATCCTTCTCCTTTCACTGGGTCATTTCCACCAGCCTGAAAACACACCTTATATCTACTATATATATATAAATATATAAAAAAATCCTCCTTTTGTCCTGCATACTTCTTCAGTTCCCACCCATTTCTCTTTTCCCTTCTTCAGATAAACTTCTCAAAGAGCTCTCTCCACTTAACTACACTTCTTCCCATTCACCCTTAAGTCTTTTGTCCCAAGTTCAGTGAAACTGCTCTTGGCAGGGTCACCACCAAAGCCATGGGACAAAATCCAGGGGCGCTTTCCAAGGACAAAATCCTTGGTTTACTCAGCCTCTCAGACCCTTTATGGGAGCCTATGACACAGGTTCCTCCTACCTCACTGGCCACTCCATCTCAGTCAACTTTGCCTGCTCTTATGCCCCTACGCCTCTCTGAATGTGAGGGAACCTCAGGGCAGGCATAGAGTTTTAAAATGTGTCCACAGATTGACTCTCCTCTCTAGGACTACAGGCTGTATTTCATGACTTGTACTAAGGGATGGGATGTGGCAGAAGTGACAGTGACTCCCAATGGCAGGTCATGAAGGAACTGTGGTTTCTGCTGCTTCTCCCTCCTGATCACTTGTTCAGGAGAAAGCCAGTTGCCATGTTGCAAAGAAACTCAAGCAGCCCTATCGAGAAGCCCACGTGGTGAGAAGCTAAGGACCCCTGCCAATAGCCAGCGGGGAACTGAGACATCTAGTTAGGAATCCTGAGAACGAGCCATCTTGGAAGCCAATCCTCCAGCTCAAATGACCAGAGCCCCAACCAACAGCTTGACTGCAGCCTTTATTACACAATCCTAATTAGACCACCCAGCTAAGCTACTCCAAAATTCCTGGTCCATGTGTGATATAAGATGTGTTTTCTGTTTAAGCTGCTAAGTTCAGAAGCAACTTGTTGCGCAGCAGTAGATAACGAATACAGCAGTTCTTGATCCCTCTTTTTGTCTCCACTCTCTCCTAAATGAAATCATTCAATTCTGTGGCTTTAAACACCACAGACATGCTAAAGACTTATAAATCTTCAACTCTAAATTCTGTCTTCTCCTTTTGAAATGATACTAGAATATCTAATGGCTTATGTGATACCCCCTTGTGTGTCTAAAAGGCATCTCAAACTTACTGTGTCTCAAAGTGAACACTTGGTCCCCCTTGCCCATATCAGGACTCAGTAGCTGGCTCCATCTAGGATATTATAATACCTCTGCCCCACACAGAGAGAAGTGGAGGTCCAGAGGTGCCTTCGTAGGTGACTGAGCACCAGAGACCATGTGGGCCCAGCCAGTCTGACCTTTAAAACTGATAACCAACGCTAGGGCCTGCTGCCTCCGTCAGCCTGGAGGGACACCAGGACTGCCCACACCTCTCCATCTCAAACAACCCCATTCATCTGGCTACCGGGCAGTGCAATGCTGCCCCCGTGTGGAAGACCTCAGGACAAAAACAGAAAGTGAGGACAGGAGACTCAAAGGCTAGGAGGACCTGAGGAAAGTGTCTACAGCTAGCTATCCTCCAGGACTGTTAACTCTGACCTCCATCTAGGTCACACTCCCTGTCTCCCTTCATCATAACAGCAGCTAATATTTGCAGACACTTCTAATACCGTGTGCCAGGCAATGTGCTGAGCCCCTTAATGCATTTTCTCACTGATCCTCACACCAGCCCCATGAAGTATGTGCTCATTTAACACCCTTTTTCAGAACAGAAGAGGAGCCAGAACTAGTGCTTAAGAATGACTCAAGGAGCCCGTGTTTGAATCCAGGCTCCACCACTTCTATCTGTGTAACCTTGGAAGATTACTGAACCGCTCTGTGCCTTAATTTTTTTTTTTAATTTGTTGAATGGGGTTACTCATATTACCTAGCCCCTAGAGTTTTTATGGGATTAAATAAGTTGAAATATGTGAAACATTTAAAACAGTGCCTGGCACACAGTAAGTGTTGTTAAATACATAAATCATTATGGGCTGAGTTGTGTCCTTCCAGAATTCATATGTTGAAGTTCTAAACCCCCATATTTCAGACAGTGACTGTATTTGGAGAACAAGTCTTTAAAGAAGTAATTTTGCCCTGGCTGGGTAGCTCCCTAACCCTAACCCTAACCCTAGCCTGGTTAGAGTGTCATCCTGATATGCCAAGGTTTCGAGTTCAATCCCGGGTCAAAGCACATACAAGTATCAACCAATGAATGCATAAGTAAGTGGAACAACAAATCGATGTTTCTCTCTTTCTTCCTCTCTCTCCCCCTTCCTCTCCCTAAAATCAATGAATAAAAATAAAATAAAGAAGTAAGTTAAAATGAGGCTTTAGGGTGGATCCTAGTCCAATCTGGCTGGGGTCCTCATAAAATGAGGAGATTTTGCTGTGCAGACACCAGGGGTACACCCACAGAGGAAAGTCCATGTGATGACACAGCAAGAATGCGGCTGTGTAAGCCTAAGGGAGAGGCCTCAGAAGAAACCAACCCCTTGATCCTAGACTTCTAGCCTCCAGAACTGTGAGAAAATAAGTAGGTCTGTTGTTTAAGCCATCCAGTCTGTGGTATTTTGTTATGGAAGCCCTAGCAAATTAATGGGTAAATATATGAAATACACCTGAGAATTAAGGTCATACAGTGAGAGAATGGCAGAGCTGGGGTTTGGCCCCTAAGCACGCTTCTGTACTGGCACCCTCAGCACCCTCTCTGACAGAACTGAAAAAGTTCCTCCTTGAGGGGTATATTATTTTCATTGCTAAACCATACCATCCTTTCTTTCTAGAAGGGATTTGAGGCAGCTGGCTTTAGTACACATGACAATGTCCCTGTTGAAGACCTCAGGGACTTGTGTGTGCTTTGTGCTCAAGGCCTCAGTTGTGAGATGCTGAAGAACACTGGACCCATTAAGAGGGAACTTGTGCTTGCCCTAACTATGCTGTCTAAAAGCTGTGTGCAGGTCACCCTGAACAAGTTACTTCCTTTCTCTAAGCCTTAGTTTTCTCATCTGGAGAATGTACATGTCTTTAGCTGTCATATATTCTTAAACTACTATGCTCCTGGCACTTTGACTGTGTGCTCCTGGCACTTTACTGTGTGCTTTTAATTTTTACAAGAGTCCAACTAGGTGGGGTTAATAATAAGTTGCATTTTTATCATCCCATTTTACAGATGAGGAGACTGAGGCTCCAATAGGGAAAATAACCTGTCCAGGTCACACAGTACAGGCAGCAAAACTGGAACTCTAACTCAAATCTGTCTGACTCTAAACTTATCTTCTAGGTCACTGTGCTACAAGTAAACATGTGTGTGTGTGTGTGTGTGTGTGTGTGTGTGTGTGTGTGTAGCTGTAACTGTAGCAGCACCAGTTGCATAGGCTCCATAAATTGCATAGTTGAATAGACAAGACTAAATCTGTCTAAAAGAGAGCAACGGGAAGGTCCAGAACAAAATCTGAAGAGCTGTAGCACAGATGTTATGTAAGAGGAAAAAGGAGAGGATAATAGGGTCCCCAGGCTGGAAATACTGCAGCAGCAAAGGTATGGAGGTAGGAATGAAGCTGTTCTGCTCAGGGTCCTGAGAAGAGAGCCGCTTGAGAACAGAAAGAGTCAATGTCAGAGAGTCTGGGAGAGCCTGGATGTCTGGCTGCAGCACAAAGAATCCATAATATTCATCTCTGATCAGGGGAAAAATCACCATCACCATCACGTCACCATCTTCACCAACTTTTATTAAATACCTACTGCGTGCTTAGAGATCTAAGCACTCTACATGTATTGTTTTATGTAATTTCTCATCATCTCTCTTAGGTATGTCTTATTATTATTATCCTCATTTTACTATGGAAACTGAGATCTAGCGAGGTGAAGTACCTGAACCGTAGTCATTCAACTAGTAAGTAGCCAAGCTAAGACTTAAACCTAGGTCTGCCTGACTCCATGGCCCGTGATCCTAACCCTGAGAGGGGGTTCTCTGAGATATTTTGGGGGAAAAAGAAGCTGGATTGGTCAGTGTGGGGAAGGGTGGATGGGCAGCAGCACCTATCTACCCCAGGGCTGGTACCCACCTTCATTCTCAATTTTCCTCTTCTCCAGCTCGGCTTCTATCTGGTCCAGCACCATGGCCAGCTCCCCAAGGATCTTCTTCAGGTAATTCACATCATCATGCTCCAGGATCTTGGCCTAGGGACAGGGTAGGCAGGAGCCAGAGGAGATGAGTTGGCCTTAATAGAGCTGGGATGACCAGCTCTGAAAATCCAATCTCCAAATATTCCCTCAAGAGTATAGGATCCCCACTGTTATCAAAGCACAGCTGGCACTCACAATAGTTCTGTAAGCTTGGCTGTCCTGCCCATATTCCTTTCATGGGCTGGTACTCTCGTACACCAGCTGCTATGAAGGTTGGTTGATAGTGGATCATAGCTGACCCTTCTCCAGAGAATTGCTCTTGGCCAATGAGGAGGTGCCCAGAAATACTTGGAAGGTTATCCCATACCCTTCAACCCTTCAATCCCCCCACCACCACACACACTTCCGCCAGGCAATCATAGCCAAAGGCGGATTGATATAAAGGTACAAAAGGTTGGCTTCTGGCCTAAAGGGGGATTGATTTTGTGGTGCCATTTGTGCTCCAGAGCTCCCTATGGAAATAGTTGAACTTGGTCCTTTTCTCTTTTCTATCCTTCCCATCCTTCTCGGATCTCTTCAGAACACTCCCTCAATAACCAAAAACCTCTGTTCAATGCAGGCTCTGCTGTTAAGGACACACCCAACACATGAGGACACTGAGGCTCCAGGGGGAGAGTGGCTTGCCCAAGGTCAAACAGCCAGTAAATGACAGAAGAGACAGGACTGGAAAAGCAAACAATGGATTTCCCACTTCATGTCACCAAGTGATCTTCTACCTAGAACCAGCCTTTCCCAGTTGTTCTTTTCCATGGAAAAGATGGTGGGAAAGAGGAACGAGCAAGGTTGGAGGCACTCACCATGAGCTTCTTCTGTTTAGAAAGATAGGGCTCAGAGAGCTGGGGCTCCTCTTCATGGTCCAATTTCATGAGGTCCGTGGTGGCGTTGGCTAAATGTCCTGGAGAAAGAATAGGAAAGGTCCTGTCCTTCTGTTACTCAGCGTACCCCAGCCCTTCCCCCACAGACTTGGAATAGGTCCCATGTAAACATTGGTCTGGGAACTAACAATATCAACAGCCAACACTTGGTAGGCACAACAGGCTGCAACGTAGGGGTGGGTGAGATGCCATCCTGCCATAGGCTCAGGATAGTGGGAGAGACAGACATCTAAAGAAACCCCTATGAAACAGCATGGTCAGTCTGTAATGAAGAGTAGACAGAATGCTGTCAGACCCAGAGATCCACTTCCTCTCTCCTTATTGACTCCATCTTTCACTGAGCTCCCCAAACTGTCCCTGTCTCCAGATGGTAACATTTTAGCCACTCGAAATGCTTGACACTCCCTGAATGTGCCTGACCATTTCAAACCTCCAGGCCATAGCTCACACCCTTCTTCCTCCCAGAATAGCCTTCCGTATTCCTGAAAATCCCCTTCTAGATATAGCTCAAGACCACCTCTTCCTTGAAACCTTTCCTGATCTTCTAGGAAAACTAATCACTCAGTGCCTTAGTCCTCCAGTGTAAGGTGGTGCAGGTTTCTGCCAGAGAATGCAGACACACTACTAAGAGCTGCCACGCACAATTCCATTCACACTGTAGTTTATGTGAAAAGTGCCCCCTGGATTGTGCAATGCACCACCTCTTTTGCTGTCCATGGAGATTTGATGTTAATGTACTTATCTCTGGGTGTTTGTGTCTCCCACTAGAACCTGAGCTTCTGGAAAGAAATGGCTATGTCAGATTTATCTCTGTCCTCTTAAAACCTGGTACAGACCTGGCCCAGAAAGAGCTCAGTGAGTGTTGAATGAATAAAGGAATGAATGAGTGAATGAATGAAATGATTAAGTAAATGGGTACAAAAGTTGTTAAATTTCTGACTTCTGAGATTTCTCCCTTCACCACCCTATCTCCTAGCCTGATAAAAACCCAATAAACATTCTCCCTGATCTTTCTACTTTGGGGCTATATTAAGCCTCATTGATGTTTTATGAATGTGAAGGTCAAGTACAGCATCTTCTCTCTTGCTGGTCACTGGAATTGCCCATATGGCTCTCTTTAAACACAGGGGGATGGACCAGGCCAAGGGAAGACTTTGGACATTTGCATCCTGTGAGGTCTCTCCAGCCCTCTCCAGCTAGGCTGAAGCCCTGGGATCCTTTCAGCCTCTTCAAAGGAGGAAGCAGACGTAGCCTGCTCTGGACCCCCCCCCCCCCCGCCTTCCAAAGGCACCTCCAAATGGCCCAGAGTAGGAAGGGGGAGCACCTCTAGCTTCCAGGAGCATGCAGGGACTACCTCTATCTAGTCCAGGCCACCATCATTGCCTACCTAGATGACAGTCGGGACCTCCTGACTGCTCTGCCCATTCTCAGTTGAATGATCTTTGTAAAATGCAGATCCAATCATGTCAGTTCCCATCACTGTTTCTCCACTCACTGCTCTTTGGATAAGATTCCAGTTCTGCCAGACCTGCTCCCCAGACTCACACTATTACCCTTGGTCTATTCTTCAACCACATTGAACTCCCTTTGGTCCCCAGAACACACCATGCCCTCTCCTACCCTCAAATCAGAAAGGATTCTCCTCCTTTTCCTTTTAACCTATCCTTGGATGTTGGTCATTCCTGGATATTGCTGCATTTCAGAATTCTCCATGATCCCAGAGGTTGGGATGGACATCTTCTATGTTCCCATGGCCTCCTTATCAAGCAGTTTGGTTTTGAATAGATTATGCATACATACTTGTTTAAAAATCCAAACAACATTAAAGAATGTTGAGTGAAGCCAGGACCGGTTTGGCTCAATGGATAGAGCGTCGGCTTGGGGACTGAAAGGTCCTGGGTTCGATTCCGGTCAAGGGCATGTACCTTGGTTGTGGGCATATCCCCGGTAGGGGGTGTGCAGGAGGCAGCTGATTGATGGCTCTCTCTCATCAATGTTTCTAACTCTGTATCTCTCTCCCTTCCTCTCTGTACAAAATCAATATATATAAAAAGAATGTTGAGTGAAGAGTAAATGTCCTCTCATTCTGTAGTCCCTTATTTCCACTCCCCCAAAGCCAGCACTACTGGCAGCTTCTCATGCATCTTTCCAGAAATACTCCTTGCTTTGCAAGCACTTGTGCATCTATTTAACCTCTTTTTAAATATGCTAAATAGCACACTGATTTTTTTCCCTTCACTTTTTTTCCCCTACTCTCTAATACATCTTAGTATTCCATATGTTTTTCTTTTTTTAAAACAGCTGCACAGTATTCTATTGTGTGAGAGGTCTAGAATTTATTTACCCAGTTCCCAACTCATGAACAGCTGGGTTACTTCCATCTCTTGTGGGCACTTCCTATACTGCAATGAATATCCTTGTACATACTTCTTGACGCACACACTCAAATGTAACTGCTGGATAATCTCCAAGGTATGGTCCTTTCTATGTTCGATATAAAGGGCCAGACTGTCCTGGAGAAGTTGTTCAAATTACTTATCAAAAAGAGTCCAGGAAAGGGTGTAATTACCTGGTCATTTGTCTTTCTGCTTCCATGGAAGTGTGACATTATAGAAGCTTTGTTTGTCCTCATCTGTCCCAAGTCCCCAGCCCAGGATTTGGATAATAAAAAAAAATGTCATAAATATTTTTGATTAAATGGGGATGGGACAATATAGATAAATCTTGAGTCTTGTTCAAAGATGAAATTGAGTTCTACAATCTGTCCCCTTCCCACCTTCAAACATTAAACTTATTCCTTTTGGGGTGTGTGTGTGTGTGTGTGTGTGTGTGTGACCATTTACTGGGCACCTATCGTCTACTTTGAATTATCATGCTTTGTCTCTCTGTAGGACCCCATGGTTTCTGCGCAGATGGATACTCTGATTTATCCTAACCCCCATTTACTGGATGCTGGAAACAAAAGAATGAACTAGGCCATGGGCATGTCCAGGCTACCAGTACATGGGTGAAGCTTGAATTAGAAGTCAGAGACCCCATAGGGGCCTTGCCATATCTGGGCAGCCTTCCTTGGTGGTGGCAACACTGATGTCACTCAATGCTGGGCCCTGACCTCCCTGGGCCCCAACCCTACACATCTGGGGCTGGGGCTCCTGTGGGGATGCCCAATTCCCCATGAACAAGACAAGATTCTAGGGAGATAATCAGCCTTGTAGCCTCTGTATGGGATGGCAGGACAAGAGTAGGGGGCAGGAGATGGGAATGAGAGACAGAGACTGCAAGAGAAGGAGAGACATTCGGTGTAATACAGGGTGAATGAGATGGAAGGTCAGAGAGATGGTGTAGAGAAAGTGAGAGAGAGAGAGAGAGAGAGAGAGAGAGAGAGAGAGAGATCTCCAAAGTGAGAACCAGAGAGATTAACTGGATTAGAAAGGGACAGAGAGAAGCGAGAAGGAGGAAAAAGGAGAGTAAGATACACCAGTGAGAGCAAGAGGAGGAGGATTCCAATTGAAAGGGAGCAGGTGGGCAAGGAAGGGGGTCAGCAAGGGGCTGGTGCACCTGCCCCGGGCACTCACTGCGGATCTCAGCCGTAGCGTACTTGGGGATCATGGAGTCGGTGGTGAGCTCGGGGTGCAGGATGCAGCCGTGTGTGTAGGCATCCATGGGCAGTGAGTCCAGCAGCTCGCGGTACTGCAGCACCCGTGCATGCTGTGGGCTGCCCGCCTCGGGTATCAGGGCTACCACGTGCTCTGCGAGACACAGCCGGGGCTGGACCAGGGGCATGAGGCCCGACTTGGTCACCTGCCCCTGATTCAGAGAGGCCAGCCTCTGGCAACCCAACTTCCAACCCCAGCAACTTGGAAATCCAAAATGTTGTAGCCCAGAGATCCCAGCCCACACCCTTTCCTGGACTCCCTGGGATACAGTGCATCCAGTTGGCAGGGGATCCTAATGGTCCAGCCCACCTACCCCTCCTCACTGGAGACCTCCAAGTTGTCCTCTGAAGGATCCTTACTGCCAGCCTTCAACAGAAGCTGGAAACCTGGATGTTTAAAATGCAACTTTTTGATTTTTATTTTCAATGCTCTCTCAAGGACATTTTCCCATTGACTTTTACAGAGAGTAGGAGAGAGAGGGAAAGGCAGAGAAATATCAATGTGAGAGAAAACATATCAATTGGATCTCCTTGATTTTTAAATGTTGGCAACTAATTTATATTTTCCTTAAACTGTGCATTTCTGGGCCCTCACCCCCTCTCAGCTGCTGTTTGCAGCCTCCACTGTGGGCTGTGAGCTCCTGAACAGAAGCAAGGTCAGAGGGAGGGAAGGGGCCATAGGATTCTATAGGGTTCTGGGGTGTTGGCCCTATTCTTGTCTGCACCGTTCTGGGGTGTCTGGGCCCAGGTCTGTGGGCCCATGTCTATGGGAGTCCACGGCCCTGACTATGCATAAAGGTTTCAGAGGGCTGGGCCTGCTGGGGGGACTGTTCATGCCTGAGGGGATCTCAAGGGTCCGTGGCCATGCCTGTGACTAGCGTTCTTGAGGAAGGAAGCTATAGCCCCAGAGCTTCAAGGGGGAGGGTGTCTGGACCATGCCCTTCCTCTGTGGTAGTACTAGGGTGGGGGTGTTGTGGGGATCTGTGGCTATGCAGTTTCCAGGGGGTATCTGAGCCCGTGATTCATCTTGGGGGAGACTTAGCCTTGCCCATGGCTCCAGGGGTTTCCGAAGGCTTCCCAAGGCTCTGGGGCCCCATATGACTCTGAAGGGCCCCTGGTGGGGGCGGCAGCCGTACCTCCTGTGAAGGTGCGCTCCACGTAGTCGATGATCTGGTCGTAGTCACTGATGATGTTGTCACGATGGATGATGACGGGCACCTCCTCACCCAGGTTGAGCCGCATGAACCAGGGCTCCTTGTGCTCGCTCTGTGGCAGGCTCACGTCCCGCTCCTCACATGCCAGGCCCTTCTCTGCAATCACCAGCCGCACCTGCAGGGGCCAGGGTCAGAGCGGGGAAGGCAGGTGGACACACAGGGACACTCTGCCCAGGTGGGATCGGGCATGTGGGGAGGGAGGTCAGAGGTCACACACAGGAGGGGACACAGTTTCTTCCAGCTCATTCTCGGGCCCCTGGGTAGACGGGTTATCTCCCAGGGGCCTAGGGCCTGGTGGTTACAGGGCTGGGTTTCACAGCAGGGCATACCTGGGGATAAAATTCCCGGTTCTGCTGTGTTTGAGCAGATTCCTTAAACTTTCTGAGCTTCAGTCCCCGTATTTGCGAAATGGAAGTATTAATAGTACCAACCCAGTGTCTGGTGTATAGATGACACTCAATTCCCAATTATTATTATCATGATTGGACTCTCAGCTTGATTTCCAGGGCAGAGTTAACCAGGAAACTTGCAGAAATTCTTATCGTCAGCAGCTAAATTTTTCAAATTATTTGAGGAAAAAAGTGAGGCAAAAAAGAACTTGCCAACATCTATCGAGCCCTTTACTGTCCCCAAATACCTTCCCATCTGGCTGCTGATGCTCACAGCAGCCTCCCAGAAGATGGAAGAGCAGGGACTATCTCCCTATTTTTACTGATAAGAAAACTAAAGCCCAGAGAGAGTAAGTAACTTACCCAAAGTCACACAGCAACGTAGTGGCAGACCTAAACCTGCAAGCAATGGTTCTTGACCAGCCAGACCAGTGCTCTCTGCCCTGGGGGCTCCTTCATGGAATCCTGGGTTGGCCCCTGCTTAGCCTTTCCCCTATGTCTGGGTCCCAGACAAACATTTGACCTGGTAGAAGCTAATGGAGAGCCTTGAGGTGGGGGCATGTCCTAAGCCAGATCAAAATTTCTGAGCTGGAAAACAGCGATCACCTAGTTTAACTGTCCCTTTCCTGTGGACTGAGACTCAGAAAAAAGGCTGGACTTATCCAAGGCTCCCCAGCAAAAAGATGGCAAGTGACTCCACCCCTCCTGAGCATGAGTGTCCCCACACACCCAATGGGAAGCTCAGGGTAGGCATCCCTAGCCTCCCTCCCGGACGTCCAGAGTTAAAGACCCAGAAGGTACAGCATGAGGTCATGTTCAGAATGTTGGACTGGGTGCCAGTCTGTGTCAGTTCAAACCCCTATAGCACTTACTTGCTGAACTTGGCTTTACAAATAGCTTTATATCTGTGTGCCTCAGTTTCCTCACCTGACCAATGGGAGTCTCAATGGCAATTCCCTCAGAGGGCTGTTGTGTGAATTAGGTAATTAGTTCCTGTGGAACAGTGCCTGGCATACAGTAGAGGTAGTGTATCTTAGCTTGCATTGGACTAGGTTTTGAAGGAAGACAGACATGGACTTAAAGCCTGGTTCTGTTGTTTATTTGTTGTGTGACCTTGGGCAAGTCACTATACCTCTCTGATCAGTTTCTGTGAAATGAGGAATGTAATCCACTTCAAGGCTGGTTCAAGATTGAGAAGGGATGATGTGAGTAAAGTCCCAGACAGGAGGTTAACACATGGTTTTTAACATCACATCTCTCTCTCTCTCTCTCTCTCTCTCTCTCTCTCTCTCACACACACACACACACACACACACACACACACAGACACACACACACACACACACACACACACACACAGCCCACAACCCCTGGTTGATGTCTTAGAGTGCTTCATGCCCCATGCTCACAGCTAACATGAACACCCCTTTCTGTTTAGTGAACTGTGGAGAGGGAGAGGTAATTGGCACCCAAACTCTCAACACTCATTCACAAATTCATTTGCTGTATTAGCCAGAGCAGGTCCTGCAGATGGCACTGGGAGGCAGGCACTCAAATCCTCACTCTGGCTCTTCCATGTCAATGCTATGTGACCTTAGAGTCATCACTGCCCCTTCCTGAGCCTCCTCTTTCTCATTATTAAAACAAGAGGCCGCAGCCCTGCAGGGAGCTGACACTACATTCAGACCACGCAGGAGACAGGCCGTGGGAGGGAACTGCTGGGTCTGCCTGAGAGGGGGAGGAACTGTAGCAGAGAGTGAGCACCTGGGGGTGGCATATGTTGGGTCTGGGTGTGTGAGTGTGTGTGCCTGAGCGTGAGAAGCAACTGTGTGAATGAGCAAATGTATGCATGTGTCTGTGTGTGCATATGCATCCGTGAGTGCATATGGATGAATGCACCAGTAAGTGTGAGTATTCAAGTATTACGTGAACTCGTGTGCATTAGTGTGGACATGAGGGGGTATGCATGAGTGAGGCTTGTGTATGTGTATATTTGAGCTCATGGGCAATGACTGCCTTGGAGAAGCCCCAGAGTGGTTGAGGCTGGAGTTTGGCTAAAGCCAAACTGACCTGTTCCCTTCCTGCCTATCCTGGCATCCTCCTGCCACGGAGATCAGGCTCCGCCCAGTCATGCAGCCTCAGAGCCAGGTTGGGGCCTCTGAATGGATGGAAACAGAACCCAAACCAAGCCCTTGCCCTTGGCAAGTTCAGACATTTGGCTTCTGGCCTGGCAGGGCATCTGCCCTGCCCGGAGATTCCAGTGAGGGTGCCAGGTGGGGCTGCTGCCTGGGGAGGGGACTATCTTTAAAGGCATAACAGTCCTGGGTGGAGCTGCCTCAGGTCACATGGGCAAGCGGCCAAGGAGACTTTCTCCTTTAGCTGAGTTGAAGGCCAGAGCCCGTGCGCCATCCTGCAGGGGAGGGGATGCAGGAGGAAGCCAGGCCCAGCGGAAGGGCATGCAGTCACCAAGGCCGTCTGCCATCTCTGCCTCCTGGGGGCTGGAGCAGGCTTAGGTGGTCACCACTCAGTGTGACCAGACACCAAATCAGGCATCTCTGGGCAAATTCTCTTCATTGTCACGGTGAGGCACTGTCCCTCCTCACCGAGCTCTTGTTTCTGAGGCAACTGATGGGTTGAGTTGGTGTCTCTTCCCAGGCGTTTAGTTGCTGTGTGACTTTGCAAAAGACACTTAAAGTCTCTGAGCCTTAATTTATTTATCTCAAAAACCTAGATTTTAAATGAATAAACTTTATATTTTAGAGCAGTTTTAGGTTTACAGAATCAAATATCCCCCCCTTTTTTAAAAAAAATATATTTTATTGATTTTTTTACAGAGAGGAAGAGAGAGGGATAGAGAGTTAGAAACATCGGTGAGAGAGAATCATCGATCAGCTTCCTCTTGCACACCCCCCACTGGGGATGTGCCTGCAACCAAGGTACATGCCCTTGACCGGAATCGAACCCGGGACCTTTCAATCCGCAGGCTGACGCTCTATCCACTGAGCCAAACCGGTTTCGACACCCCCCCCCCCTTTTTTAATGCAACATCTATAGCTTATAAATTCATCACTTTCCAACCCTTATTTATCAAGTGCCTACTCTGTGCCAGGTGTTGTTCTAAGTATGAGAGACTCAGCAGTGAACAAGGATCCCTGCCCTCAGGAAGCTGACATTCTAGGGGGAGAAGACAGATAAGCAGTTAATATGATAGGATATATTAAAAGATGGTGAGTGCAACAGAAAAAAAAAATACATCAGGGTAAGAATTGGGGATGTCAGGGTATAAGGGAGACAGGTGATAATTTTAAATAGGGTAATCCGCTGTGGCAGCCTCTTTGAGCAGGTGACCTTTGAGCAAAGGTTTGAATGAAGTGATCCACACAGGGATCTGGGGAAGACTGTTCCAGGCAGAGGGACAGACAGTGCAAAGGCCCTGGGGTGGGAGCATGTCTGAAGTGTTTGAAAAGGCTGTGTGTGAGGAGGCCAGTGTGGCTGGAGCAGAGTGGATGGGGAAAAGGACAGGAAGGATCATGCACAGGGGTTGATAACTGAGACTCCCAGACCCAGGGGTCTATGAATAAAAGAGAGAGTCCTTGAACTGAGATGGAAATATTACATGTTTATTTTCAGTAATCTCAAACTGACATTTCGCTTTTTCTTACGTTATGAGTGTAGGCGACAAAGCATGGTGGTGTTAGCATGCCTGGAATATTGTCAGCACTAGGAGTCAGATATCTTCATAACTTCGCAGTTGTGCCAGTTACACTTATCACGACTTCAGTATCACAGCTGTTATCAGTCCTGCCACTACATTGTGTTATATAATGGGTTAATATAGAAACATGTCATTATATAACAAATTTGCTTTAAAAATATGCCAATAGCTGCAGTCAAACACAATTGGTTTCCCTTATAACCCAATAATCCTGTGTATTTAATTTTATTCAATTAAAAGTATTATCCTGAGAAAGGTCCAGAGGCTTCCCCTGACTGATGAGGGGTCCATGACCCAAACAAGGTTAGGATCCTACAGTAGAGCCTGAGGCCATGATGAGGACTCGGGTTTTTTCCCGGAGGGACCTGGGGAGCCACTACAAGCTTCTGAACAGAATGGTGAGATTGCAGTTTTCACCTGTGGGCCTCCTGGGGGTGGGATAAATGATCAAGTGCAGCAATATGGACATGGCTGGGGGCCAGTGCCCAAGAGCTTAAGAGGCAAAGGTAGAGGCCATTTACTTCTCTGCTGCCACATCTGGGAGGGGGCTTCTGGGAGACCTGCTCCATCTTGGGTGTCAGGACTGGCCCACGGCAGGACCCAGACCTGGGCCTATCACTCCTGGCCAAAGGTTGGGCCAAGGGCTCCCCACAAGTACACATAAGACAAGGGCAAACTCTGAGAGGATGAGGACAACCTTGAACCAGGCTCTCATTCCATCCCTGTCTCCTATCCAGTTCCCACCACTGGGGCCTGGCTCCTGAGGTTCCAGGTGGGAGCAGATTCTAACATCTGGAGATCAGGCTGATTCATCTCCAAACCTCCAACACACTTCACAGAGTCTGGCACACAGTAGGTGTTCACCATGCATGTATAAAACTTATGGTCAAGTCCCTGTGGGACCTTGGTTAATGTGACCTCTCCTGTACCCAGTACTTTATCGACATCATAACACCTATTAGTAACAGAGCCCGACTCCACGCCAGGCACTGCTATCAGCACCTTTTGTGCATCATCTCATTTCACCATCAAAACAGCCCTCTGATGAAGGTACTGCTATTAGCTCCATTTTACAGATTATAAAACCAAGGCTTTGGAGAGGCAAAGCGACCTGTCCAAAGTCCCATAGCAAGTTCCTGGGGAAGATGGTAATCCCACTAGAGATTATCTAGCCTCAGAGTCTATATCCTAAACTGAGATCACTCAATGGGAGACTGTGGACCAGCTTCATCAGCATCACCTGATAGCTTGTTAGACACGCTGTACATTGGGTCCCAGGCCAAAACTACTGAGTCAGAATCTCTGGGGTGGGACCCAGCAGTCTGTGCTTTAACCAGGATCATGCAGTGATTCCAATGCACAACCAAGTTTGAGCAGTGCCAGTCCAGAACAGTAGTCACACTGCCCCTTCAACAACCCTCTCAGCAACCCCGAGGTGCGTTGGAATTAAAGTAGCTATTATTATTATTATTATTATTATTATTATCATCCCATTTTCCAGAATATAAAACTGAGCCTTGACCAACACTCAAACCCAAATCTTTTGGTTCCAAGGCCCCTTTTCTTTATAGAAACCGTTTCTCCATCTGGGAAATGAGTGAGTGGAACAAAAGGACCTTCCAGAGACAGGCAATGGGGCCTAAATGCTGGGCTCTGACCATGGTGCTGAATCCGTGCCCCACAAACAGGGTGAGATTACGCTCCTATAGGTACTCCTTGTCTTACAAGGACAGTGCTGGGCCCTCTTCCCCCAACCCCCCACCCCGGAAGCGGGAACCCCAATAACTCAGCACCAGACTGTATTAACAACTGTCCCCTAGGTCCCCTGAATCTGAGAAGTGCTTGAGAGGCTATCTGCGCCTTTAAGAGCAAAAAACAGCTCTATATCAGGGCTGGTCTAAGATGAGTTAACTCCTTCCTTCTCAAGCAAGGGGCTGGGGCTGGGGGGGCTACAGACAGACTCCCCAACCCCCAGCCAGAGGAAGGCCCCAAGCCCTGCAGAGGAACAGAGGCACTGAGACCTGAAAGGCCTGTAGTGTCTAGTACAGCATCTGGGAGGCCAGGCCTGCAATGGGACTACCGGGCAGGAGGCTGGACCCCAGGAAGTGCTCCTCCTCCTTCCCGCAGCCACCCCTCCAGCAGGCGGCCTTTCCATCAGTGCCCATTCCCTTCCCCTTGCCTTTGTCTCTCTTCTCCACCCTCCAAGAGACCTGGTCTTTCTGGGAGGGGAATAAGATGGATATTCCTAGAATTGTGGTCGGTGTTCCTGGGGCCCAAGACAGGGCCAGTCACCTCCAGGGGGAGCAGCCCAGTGCCTCTGTCCTCTGGCCTGGAAACCCCAGATTCCACCCTCCAGTCTTACACCAGGTCCCCAGACCCCTTAACCCTCCCCCAAGCCTCCGAGCCACCAAGCGCATCCAGCTCCTCTGCTTTCCCTGGCTGTACCTTCTGGGAGCTGAAGGACTGGGTCCAGTGGTACAGTACCAGGCTCTCCTTGGGCCAATGGGCGGGGCTGGCCGCTTGGGGAGCGTCGGGGGCCTCCGTAGGCTTGGCCGCATCGCTCTCCAGCGCCGAGATGGGCCACCAGCTGCAGTTGGTGGGGGTCAGGTTGTTGGGGGTCGCCATGACAGCCGGGATCCGAGGGAGGAAGGAAGGAGGCTCCGGCGGCGCGGCTCTCTCTCGCTCAGCATCACATGGCCTCGTGGAGCCGGCCCCTCTCTTTATCTCCCTCCCTCCCTCCCTCCCTCTCCGTGAATGTCATCACTCACCGGGCGGTGGGGGAGGAGCGAGGGGGATCCCGGGAGCTCCTTCCCTCCTCCTCCCCGTGGCCCGCCCCTGTCCTCTCCATCAGGCTCCAAGGAAGGGTGCTCGGAGCCCCGGGGAAGTAGGCCATGCCCCCCAGGTAGCTCCTATCTCAGTTTTTATTTGCTTTTTGCCTTATTATTTAAAAAAAAAACACAAAAAAACATTTTCAGCCCTGGCCAATCCCCTGCTGATAATTCCACCATTGTAAACGCATTCTGCCTCGGTCTTCTAAGAAGCAAATATTTCTTCAGGAGAACTGGTGTTACAGAGATTCATTCCTTTTATAAATTAGTGTCTGGAAATAGTTTGTCTCTCTATGAAGCTGTTATCTTCTAACTTTCCTCCTGAAGGACCTCTAAGAGCAGAACAAACTATGGTTTATGGTGTACCCTGGCACTGTGCTAAAGGCTTTACAACTATCTATTCATTTAGCCCTCACAATCATCTTATTAGCCTCATTTTACAGAGGAGGAAACTGAGGTACAAAGAAGCTAAATGACCTTACTCAAGGTCACCTAGCTAGTAAGTGATGGGGTTGAAATTCTAACTCAGGCCATCTGGTTCCAAAGTCTTAGCCAATATGCTCTTAGCCATAAAATCATGACAACCTATTAATATAAACAGCAGCACAGCAAGCATTTATCAACCCACATATTTTATAAACATCATCTCATTTCGTCTGCACAATAATCATTTTTCCCAGATGAAGAAGGTGAAGCTCAGAGATGTAAATCATGGTCCAAGGTCACATCTTCACCCCAGGAGACTGAGGCACAACCAGAGGATCCCAAAGAAACACAGGTTACCCTAAACATTCATGAGATGGTTACATAAAGTTCCTCAATATCCCCTTCTTCCCTTACTATAAATATTGTGTTATACCTTATTTACCATTGAGCAAATAGATGCACCAGGAAAATAAGCTTCTTAGTTTCAACCCCTCCCCCAAGTCCCACTACCAAGCACCCCAGGCCACATTACCCTCCAGGCAGATAAGCATGGCTCTTGAGGAATCAATGGCGATCCTTCTACCCATTAACAAAAGTTCTGTGGCTTAAGGGCTTCTCTTTTTTCTTTGGCTGCCAAGGAAACGTGGAACTACTTTTTCTGCTAAGTCCCAGTTACCACATTAAGCCAACCTCGTTTAGAAAATTCTCTTTTTCAAAATGTCTTGTTCAGTTTTATTGTGCAAAGAATATACTGTGCCTTGAGGGAAAATTCAGAGGAAGAAGGCTTTAGAATTTGATCAAGGTGGAAAATCTGGCCCTGTCTGTGTCTTCCATCTGATGTATCCGGGGAGCCAGACTCAGCATCACACTCAGCCTGTGTTCATCCCCTCAACAAATATTGTGCACCCACCACGTACTGGGCACTTCAATGGCACAAGAGATATAGTGATAAATAGACACGGTGTGCTCACTGTCTTTTTTTCCTTAGCAATACATTTTGGAAAGAGTTTCTTATCTATACAAGTCTACCCCATACTTTATAAGATCCAACACTGTATAGATGCACCATAATAAATTGAACAACTTCTACTGATGGACATATATAGCTGTTTTTAATCCTTTATTAAAAACAATGCTGCAATGAACATCTTTATTCATATGCATTTGTGCACATGTTTGAGAATGACCTGTATGATAATTCTTAGAAATGGAATTGCTGGGTAAAAGAAATGTCTTTGCCAAAGTTCCTTCAGAAGAGGCTGTCCCAATTTATACTCCCCACTAAGTCTATAAAAGTACCCATTTCCCTACACCCTTGCCAACACAGCATATTTTAAACATTTAAAAAAATCTAGGGTGAAGAATGGTATCAGAGTTTTTATTTGCTTTTTGCCTTATTATAAAAAACATTTTCAGCCCTGGCCAGTTTTCTCAGTGGTTAGAGCATAGGCCCGTGGATCGAAAGGTCATGGGTTTGATTCCTGGTCAAGGGCAGGTACCTTGGTTAGAGGTTCCACAACCCCAGTAGGGGCCTGTGCAGGAGGCAACCAATTGATGTGTCTCTCTCATGTCAATGTTTCTCTCACTGCCCCCCCCCCAACCCCCCGCCATGCCTCCCTCCCATCTGCTCATTTCTCCCTTCCACTCTCTAGAAATCAGTGGGGAAAATATTCTCCGGTAAGGCTAAAATTTTTTTAAAATATTTTAAAACACATGAAACGGCCAATAAAAATAGCTCAATGAACCCCCATCATCTAGATATCATCATTCTTAAAAACTTGCCAAATGTTTAATTTGGGGGAGAGGGTTTGAAGTATTTTGAAATAAAGTATAGGAATCATGATATTTCACTAACAACTTCAGTATTACTTTATATCTAACACAGGTAATTTTCTTACATAAACCAACACATTTTTTATATTAAAAAATAACAATAAGGCTCTAATATCTAGTTCATAATTAAATTTATCTAGTTGTACCAGAGATAAACGTCCTCATTGCTGGTTTCAACCAAGATCCAATCAAGGACCATGTGATAAATTCTGTTGTTACACCTTAAGTCCTAGAATGGTCCTCACTCTTTTTAATTTCCCCTCCCATCACCTGGATTCTTGAAGAGACTGGTCAGCTGTCTTGTACAATGCTCCACTTTAGAATTTGTCTGTTTGGTCAGTGTGGTGTGTCCTTTAACTTGTCATATTCGGCCTTTTATTTCCTATAAAGTAGTACTTGGTTCTAAAGGATAGATTAGATTCAGGTTAGACATTTTTGGGGCAAGAATTTAATACCTGATAGGTTGTGCTGTGCACTTCATTTTGCCTCACAGCAGGAAGTCCATGATATCTTGTTGTTCCACTACTAATGATGCCAAGTTTGATTACCGGGTTAAGGTGGTGACCACATCTCTCCATGTTAAATGTTTATTTCTCCTCTCCCCATCAGAACCTTGTGGGTATCCAGTTCCTCATCAATTGATGGTCCTTGTCTAAACCAATTATCAGGGACTGTAAAATGATTTTCTAATTTTGTCTTTTTGTTTGCATTTATCAGTTGGCATTCTTTATTTGAATTTCAATAATTATGAATGAAGCTGACCATCCTTTCAAGTGCTTAAAAGCCATTTACATTTCTTTCCCAGCAAATTGTCTGGGTTTCCGTGGGACCTGGGCAATTATAACACAGCATGAAGAGTGCTGTGACTGGGGTGAGGACGGGGGTTGTGGTAGAGCTGGGAAGGAACATCCAGCTTGCCCTGCCTCCTCAGGTGCTGCCCGTGCCAGTGAAGGCTTTCAGGTGCAGTGGCTCTCAGTATGGGTTTCTCTGAAGCAGATCCTGAGACAAGAATTCAAAGACAACCAATTGCTTTGGGAGAGAAGGGAAATCCCAGGAAATGAGGCAGAAAAGGCAGCCAAGGAAGGTGTGTTGTCAGGCAAGTTAGCACTGTGAGCAGTTGGAGCTTAATCACACAGAGGAATTCTGAGGCTGGTATAAACACCTTGGCATTATCCCACCTGAGGAGGAAGAGAGCTGGGGAATTTATATGCCCAGTTGTTAGTCATTGCTCTAGGAGCGGTCCCAGGAATGTTAACCCCCCAGCACTTCAGGCCTGTCCTGCAGTTGGTAGAATGGGTTCCAGTGACCACAAAAAGCTCACTGGCAATAAATATCGGTGCTAGCAGCTGGGGGTTAGCTTATGTGCACTGAAATGGTCCAACTCAAAGTGTGTGTGTGTGTGTCTGTGTGTGTGATGGACACTGAAAGCCAAAGGGCAGATAGTCAAGAAAGAGAGCAGAGGACCACGGAAGCATTCTTCACTCGCCCCACGTTCCTTCAGCCAGAATTCAATCCTGTGGCTGCCCTCTAGAGGCCAATCTGAGTGGGAAACATAGTCTCTGGCCTGTGCAGCCCCTTTCCAACAACTCTATCCTATGAACGCACACACATCTCTTCCTCATGTAGTTATTATTATCTCCATTTTGCAGATGAAGGAACAAATCTCAGAGAGGCTATGTGAGCTGTAAAAAGTTTTGCAGTCAGAGCGCTGTCTTTCTGAGACCAATCCAGGGACATTTCCTCTATCTCAGTGCTTCCCAAACTTGTCATCTCATCAGCTACACCAGTTGTTGCTCATACAGGTTCCTGGTCCTTGCCTCAAACCTTGAATCCCAGTCAAGGAAGACTGTGGTAACCTGTATTTCCATCAAGAATTCCAGATGATTCTTACAGAAGGTTCTATACCAGGGGCTACAGCTTAGACTCATCTTGGGAGCTTTATGAATGCTAATCTCTTGGTCCCAACCCTAGAAATGATGACACTGATATTTTGTAAAAATTCCAGGTGACAGGTGACTGTGATGTGCAGCCCAGACTCAGAACCACTGCCTTTGCTCCCACACCACACTGGATGGTTGTCAGAGCCACCTGAAAGAGCTTTTCAAACTAAAGCAATGAGAGAGAAAGAGCAAGACAGAGAGAAAGAAGGGGAGAGAAGGGGGCCAAAGGGAGTGAGAGAAATAGAGAGAGATCCATGAGTGGAAATTAGCATTTAAGAAAACTCTTCAAAGGATTCTAATGTACAGTCTGGGTGCAGACCTACTGAATAAATGGATCAGAAGACTCTTAATCAGTATGTTTGGATGAACCAAACTTTTCGTATTTTTAAAGCACCCCAAGGGATTGTGATAACAATCTCTAAGGCTCTGCTACTCCAAGTGTGGTCTAAAGTATCAGCACATTGCCGAGACTGGTTTGGCTCAATGGATAGAGTGTCGGCTTGGGGACTGAAGGGTCCCGGGTTCAATTCCGGTCAAGGGCATGTACCTTGGTTGTAGGCATATCCCCATAGGGGGTGTGCAAGAGGCAGCTGATTAATGACTCTCTCTCATCGTTGTTTCTAACTCTCTATCTCTCTCCCTTCCTCTCTGTACAAAATCAATAAAATATATTTTAAAAAAATAAAGTATCAGCACATTGCCCTGGCCAGTTTTGCTCAATGGTTAGAGTGTTGGCCCTCAGACCAAAGTGTCAA